CTCCCGAGGTCCTTCAAAAACGGAACTTCAAGGGCTTCCAGCAGATGAGATCCAGCCACAACAGCGGCAGATTTACGGTGTCCGCTGGCCAACCTTTGGCATCCAGCGCGACACATGTAACACCACAATTCTGCCGGGCACAGAATGGACAATGCCGGACCTGAAACTCACTCCGCAGAACAAGCACCTGGGCAACTTTCATGGAAAAGAACATATCTGGGGCGCATACATGGGTGATACATGGGTGTCTCGTATTTTAGTGGACTCCCCAAAATGATGCTTTTCCTTTTGGTTTCCGTTTAAAGCCACAAAATCTTGGTACCCTCAAAAAGACACACACCCACATGCTCAATTCCAGGAAAGCATTGTCCCTTTTCGACTGGCGAGTCTTGTGAGTTGCAGGGTTTGCCTTTGGAGGGCCCTTGACAAGCGTAAGAACACTGTGGGAAAGGCGTCTGAAGCCATGGAGTACTTTTTTTTGGAGCAGATTTGCCCGCCGCCCCACGATTTCTCTATCTATGCCAGGAAGCTGTTTGATCCTCGCCACCATTTCCTCCAGCTTCACGTGGATGGTACCCAGCAGCTTGCCACGGTTTTGCATGTAGAAGATGGCGTCGCTGATGGCGCAGTTCCTTGGCCCACGGGAGCCCCCGACGAATACGTCGAAGCCCCGCATGTGGACGAGTCAGAGGAAACCCCACCCGCTGGGAGGTCCTGGCCTTTCAGGGGAGTACAACTTATATTTGGATACATCCAAAAACATGTATGAAGTCACACCCTTCATGTTCAGTGATGGTCCACCTGCATTCCAGTAGGTGCAAGGCTGGCCATGAATAGACCTATCCAAACATTTCACATGAGCTGTGATTTGTGTGTATATACATGTATATATATATATACGTATACAAATGTAGGCGAAAAAGTGAATCGGGTGATTGATTCAGCTAAATAAAATTGAACACAATGGAAACATGAGCGTGCTTTGATGATTTGAGCGTTGGTTGACATTCTTGAAAAAATGAAACAACCATGTATCCGCCGACCCCTTCTTGCCAAAAGGGGAGGCGTGCCGGCTGGCAACACAATTCCGTTGTATGTTGCTGGGGATGCGCAATCATAATCATAACCATCATCATCAACCATAATCCTCGAGGTCGTCATCATTGCCTTATGTGAGGCTGGGCCGCCGCTATCATGTTCGTCTATGGGCTTACAACGTGTTATACGGCCTCGCTGGTGATGCTGAGAATTCGTAATCATGATCATCATCCCCCTCATCGTCAGCATCGTCAACATCATCATCATCATCATCATCATCATCATCGTCGCCATCATGATGGCCATCATGATCATCATGATCATCATCATCATCGGTCGTCGTCGTCATCGTCGCTAGCTGGCGAAAATATGCAGCAAAACGGCTGCATTGGCAGCATCGCCGACGTAATCGGGAGCCCCTGTTTCGCGCATCGCTTGCATCCCCTGCATCACCCGCATTATACACTGTGTTCCAGGCCAGCCTTCCCCGTGACGGGGAGCACAGGCCACATCCATCCATCCATCCATCCATCCATCCATCCATCCATCCATCCATCCATCCATCCATCCATCCATCCATCCATCCATCCATCCATCCATCCATCCATCCATCCATGGTGAGCCTCACTGGCATGCGCGACTGGCACGCGGAGCGAGAAAATGTATCACATGTGATATATAGAACCTACAGCGAAATGCCCATATTTGGGGGGGGGAGCCCTCTCTCAGTTGCAGTTCACTGGGCTAAAGGGGTCTGATTCAGTCGGTCCGAGTTTTCTCGGCCTTCGCATTCCGAGGCGCGCCACATCCCGCAGCATCCCCAGAGACGGCAAGGTGATGTCCTCCAAACGGGCATCCATGTCCTCCGAGTGGAGGCTCTCCCACCACTCCAGCGGGATCACGTCACAGCGCACCACCGGCCGCCCGTCCTCGGGTTGCCGGGGGGGGCGTGAGTCTTTCGGCGGTTCGACGAAGACAGGCGCTTGACCCTGCGGCTTGGCTTGGATTCTCCTTGGCCTTGGCCCATTTTGCCAACATGGGCCTTCTCCTCCCAACATGGAACAGATTCACGAACCTTCTCCCTGCACCAGAAAGTTGTATGATCCTGGACACTGGATCGGGGGGCCTCCGTGGAAGCTCGTCGCATAAAAGGCGTGCGCTGCTGGAAAAACCCTACTTGGTATCTAGAAGAACCAGTGCATTAAAAAGAAAGGACACATGGCTTCCTCTCGGAGTCAACAAATATATGCAGCACATGTCTGCTTCTGGTCAGGTAGCATCACAGCTTGAACAGCTCATGTCAAATGTACGAAAACTGGACCAACTTCAAAGCCTTTTTCCGGCCTGTGGGTCTTTTGAACAACTGATCAACGGTCGAGCATTTCAGAAACTTTATCTTGGGACCGAAACCCGTTTCGTGCACCGGAGGCCCGGTAAAAGCCTGCAATGGACCTACTCCAGCGCAATGGACCTGCTTCTTGACCTGCCATGCCGATCGAATCCGCTACAAAAGCTGGCCTGCAGCTTTCCGAATATCTGCCTTAAGCTACTGCAAGCTATGTCGTAGTATATTCCCAGCTGGACCATGTGACAGAGCCAGGCTTCCGGTAAAGGAGGCAAACAATTCTCAGCTCTTCAAAGCCGCAGGTCCTGCCAGAAATCCGCGTCAATCTTCGAGGAAGCTGGCAGAACCGCCGTGTTTGAAAAGACTTTCTTGAGGGCTGTCCATGTGTTCAAAGGAACACAAGGCCCCCCACACTGGTGTGTTTTTGCGCTGCAAGGTTCATCTGTCATGGACAACCCTTGCTTCCCTGAAAAATAATTCGCAACGGATCTGGTGGCTAGCCGAATCGGCGAGGGGCATAGACACCACAACTTAACCAGTCTTCTGAAAACGATTCAGTCTCAGTGGGTGCAAATATGTCCAAGATATGTAACAATCTAACACAGCAAGACCAAAAAACATGCACTGCCCACCAGGCGTGGCGTCAGCTTGTTGGTTCCAGATTACACGGGAGGCAGGTTGGTCCCAAGAACCGACAACTCTTCTCCCGAGCCTGACCCGTTTGAAGGGGGGCACGCCGAACAGCAAGCCGGAGCGCCGCAAGACAAGAAAATGAGCTCCTTCCAAGCATGAGCACAGCCCAAGATGCCACAGCCCGCCCCAACAAACCCGCAGCGATACCCCCGTTTTGTCTTTTTGCATCGAAATGATTTCTTGAACGAGTCGTGTTATTCTGTGGACCCCCGAAATGGACATCGGTCTTCCTGATTGAACCCCCAACAAATTAAGCTCAAAAAAGACACGCCAACATCTACCCCATGTCGCTGGTCACAGGTCACCTGCGGTTTGCTTGCATCTGAAACTCAAGTCAAGAGGCGCCCTCAAAAAACCACAGGCCCATGTCCGAACAAACCCAGCGACCTCTCTCCAGTGAATGCCGAGCGGCTTCCGGGGGCTCCCAGGCAGTCCCGGTCTTGGTGTATCCGGCCAGGAGCAGCCTGACTTATATTATATATATATATACACACATATGTATGTATATATATATATACATACTTATATATATATATATTCATATTATATCTCTTGGCTGTCCTCAGATCCCCTGCTAAAAGTTTCACTTTTTGTGGCTTTAATGGAAACCACTCAACCCTAAAGGCCGCAAAACCTAAGATGGCTGGGAACCACCATCATAATTAGACTACTTAGAAGAAACAACCGGCTTGTCTTTCCTCACTAGGTTCCATTTGAACTAAAACTAGCTTCCAATTAGAATCCTGGTTGCAAAGGAAGTCCTATTTAAAATGTCTTGAAAAATAAAGCTTTCCGATTGAAATATATTAAATTATAATTGGAATCCTAATTCAAGATAAACTTGAAGCCTTGAATCTTAAAACTTGCAAACCAAGTTGCAGTTCCCTTGATGCTGTTTTCTCTGGAATGTCATTCCTTTCAATCCGCAGGCACATTTTAAGAAACAACCAGCCTGTCTTTCCTCACTCGATGTTTACTTAATTCCACTTAACTTCCTACCTGGAAGTGAATTCCTGTTGAATATCTCATTCAAAATAAAACTTCCAGTTAAAATACAATGAAATACCTTCTGAAACTTGAAGCGTTGCAAACAAAAGTTTGCCAACCAATGGCAGTTTCCTTGGCAGGCAAATTAGAAGAAACATCCGGCTTGTCGTTTCTCACAAGATGTGCTTTTGCTCCGAATTAAAAACTAGTGTGATTCCTACTTGGAAAGCAATTCCCATTTAAGGTCTAATTCAAAACAATACGTCCAATTGAATTCTAAGAAAAGTTCTGCTTGAGCTTAAAGCTTTGCAGTTTAAAACGTGTAAACCAATAGAACTGAAATCGCATGTTCCCTGGAATTGTATTGGATTTTCACTCCGTTTGAGAGGCAGGCAAATTAGAACAAACGATTGGCGTGTCTTTCCTTATTAGATTCTGGATAGAATCCACCTTACATTGCAATTCAAAAAGGAATTCTAGTTGAACCAATTGGAAGGAAAACAACAACTCTTTTGTTTCAATCCTAATCGAGTCCTACTTGGAAAGTAATTCGGGAGCAAGATGATCCAAATTCAGAACTCTAATCAAATTGATCAAGAGAAACAATCAGCGTGTCTTTCCTCACTAGGCTCTATTTGAAGTATAATTCGATGCGAATCAAACTCCTACTCGGAAAGCAAATCCTATTTAGAATCTATTTCAACATCAGAATTCCAATGAAAGTCCCACTTAAGCGTAAGGCTTTGCAACACAAAATCCCCCCTTAAAAAAAAGTCCTCCAGAAGAAGGGGAACCACTTCCAGCATCTCTCTCACAGACCCTGATTTGTGTTTATTCCTTTGTTTTTCTGGTTAAGCCCTTCTTCTGGTATGGCCCTGGTTTCTTTCTTTGTTTGTGTGTTTGTTTGGTTTTGCTGTAGAGAACGCATCGACAACACTGTTTTTTTGATTTTTCTGAGTTTTTGTCTGTTGTTTCTGTTTTTTTGCTGGTGTTTCTGTTTGTCCGTTTTTTGGGTTTGGGGCCCTTCTCTCAGAGCATTGTTTTTACTCTGTGTTTTGCTTTATCTCCGTTTCCTTTTTAGTTATTCCTCGTTTTGGGTGGGTCCCGCAAGCAGATATACGCATACATATGTATATGATATATATATATATATATATGTTTATGTTTTACATGTATGTATATATATGTATATATTATAGAGGCCCTACTCAAAACGGTCAGGCCAGGCAAAACAATAAACGTTTGAACTAGCCGTGTCCCATCACTTTCCGGCAAGGCCCTGGGATTGTAAGTTGCTTGTGGCTCGTCAGTGGCAAGGGAGAACTGGCCATCTTCGCAAGGTAAGCCACACCCAGTCCGGGAAACAAGACACAACACACATGCTCGAATGATTTGGCCGTGCTTTCAAAAATGGGGACCCCACATGTGGCTGATTTGCATTGGTGCCTCTGCAAAAGGATGTAGAGGCAATCAAGAGGCGCCCGTTTGGGCGTCCTTCTTTTCAGGGAACCCCCTGCTTGCGGGTTTCAAAAGGAAGTTCAACAGCAAGACCGAATCTTGGGGCTCTTCTATATCAGGACAAAGACACGTTCAGAACCCCCCAAAAAAAAAACCTGGACCACGGCTTGGTGGCCAGCGCGCGCGCGCACGGCTTGCCGGGCCGCAAGCTCTGCTGCATGCCGCTGCGCAGGTCGGAGGCCACGTGGGCCAGGCCGCCCCCCATCTTCCGGGAGAGCTTCTCCCCGAGGCCGTGGGTCAGGATGAAGAAGTGGCTCACCTCCTCGCTCAGAAACTCCTCGCGGTCCAAATGACCCACAGAGAACTGCTGCTTTCTTTTTTGTGTAAGGGTAAACCAAAAGCAAACCACCACATATACATATATATATATCATATAGTATGTTGATTCATTTTAAAATCTATATTCATTTATTTATTATTATTATTATTATTTGTTTTTTTTTTTTTTTTTTTTTTTTATGGGGGGTCCCATACAAAAGACACACCACATGTTTATTGCTCCTTCGAACGTAGCAAAACCTGGTGAACCTTGTGGTCTTTGGTCAATTAGGTAGGCACCCCGTGTCCTCCCAAAACAAGATTTGGTCTTGCTCACCTAGGTTCCTCCAGCCTTCCAGTGGATGAGCGGGGGGGGGGGGGGGCTACATGTTCGCCCAGCGGCAATATGTACATGTCTATATATTAATATGCGTAACATTAAATACTAGACTTTATACAAGTCGTGAAATTAGACTGTGAAAAAGGAAGGCCTCAACAAGGGTGTGTAAAGGCAATGCAATTGGCCGTGCCCTCGGTCAGGTGGAGCTAGATAAACGTGAACCAGCACGCTCAAAGTGGCTCACTGAGTATGTGCAAAGCATTGCAAAGCAATAGCATTCCTGCTATTGAAAAGCAAGAATTGAACTAGCGCTTGCTTGTTTAAGGCTCCAAAGGGAAGATCTTAGGAGTGCGGGGGGTCCCTATGTGCCTCGCCACGAGCTGCGGACCGCTGAATTCTGAACGCAAAGGACGCTTGTCAGTCCCATAAGCAGTGGATTGTCAGGCACTGCAAACGTGCACAGGAGAAAACACATGCCCATAGGTGGATGTTTCAGATCAGTTGCTTCTGTGTGCTTGTAATCGTACAAATAGAGATCTTGCTAAATGGCCAAATGGTCATTGTTAGGTTGATGCAGCAAAACCACTCCGGCATGTGGCAAAATGAGTAATGGCCGGTTTGAGACACGGGTATGATCTGATAAGCAAGCATTCCTACTTCACGCTCTCAGCAAAATGATTCCCATAAAGAGCCTTGTCCAACAAAGAGGCACGGGCAAGCCCAGTCCGGGAGTAAATCGGCAACCAGTCAAACATAAACGACAGAATGAGAAAGACCACAGGTGTGTGTGTGTGTGTGAGCGCATGTCTGCGTGAATTATGATACGTGCAGTCTGACCAATACAGGCATCCAAACCTGATACTGGCATGACCACGTTAAGCTAGTGGAGCATGGATTGCATGGACCTCGAGATAAATGGCTTTAACACAGTCTCCTCTTCGTCCCCTGCTTGGCTTTCCACCTTGAAGCCTCGATGGACCTCCACGTCATTGAACCAAGAGCCTCCAGGGATGAAATGCGGACGTGTCGGTTTTCCGATAGCTCCTCATCCACTGGCTCAGGTTCGCTCAAACATATGGGTGCTTCCAGCAGACGCCCGCAAATCCATAACCTGAAAGTAGGTTGCCAATTACGGCAGGCCAGCCGGAAGCTGAGGTCCTTGCCCCCCTGTGAAAGAAACATGAAGGCAACTCTTGCAAAGGGAGAGAGATTGCTGCGTGAGATTGGGCATCCGATGTTTTCATCCCAAGTGGAAACATCTCAAAAGTTTTGGAGAATTGGGAGGCCAGCCTGCCACATTGGGGAGGATTTGAGCGACCAGACCCCATCGACTCTTGGTGCTACTGACATGGTTAGTAAGGATCATATAGAGACTAACATGGCTGTGTTGGAATCGGCTTTGGGCGCTGTTCACTTGATTTGGGAGTATTTTTGTTGGGATTCAGAGCCCCCAACATGGTCCAAAAATCCGCTTCCACCCAAATTGGTGGACTGAATTGATGGATTGGTGGATTGGTGGTTAGGGGGCGGCTTCCCATTTGCCCTCTTCCCGAACCAGGGCTTCAAATCCAAATCCAAACCATTCCAAACTAACTAAGGGTTGCCCGAACCCTCGACTCGCACAGCAAAAGAACAAACAGACTCCAAGCTGCAAGCAATCGGATGCGAGTTGTGTCATCCCCTCACAGGCGGATTCGTTCATTCCATCACGTCACGGCTTGGTTTAGGGACTGGAGATCCGAATCCACATTGGAGTCCTGGGCGGGGACGTGGAGGGGGAGGGTGCCCGAAGGCTTTCCAAGGAACCCGAAAGGGACTCTCAACCACCCCATCGTACCTACGCCCCCTTACAAATGATACCATGTGAGGAAAACCGGAAATCATTGAGCTAGTTGCACGCCTAGCTCGACCGAACTTTGCGAGAACCATCACATTTAGGGGGTTGATCAAAAGGTCCGTGATGCATGGGATGACCGTCGGTGGAAAACCATGAGAAAAAGATACGACATTTCAAAGTCGAATCAAACGGGACAAGTCGCCCAAGGGGCCGAAGGGAATATTGATCAACCCCCACTCGGTTGCTTTCTGCTCCCCTGCTAAAAGTTTAACTTTTAGTGGTCTAATGGAAAAACCATCAGTTGGCAAAAAGTTAAAGTCCTAACATCCAAGAAACATGCACCTGACTACTCCAAAGACGACTTAAACCCAGTGATTCCCCCCCTAAAGGGAAACCCCTGGGTTTAAGTCGACCGTGGGGTAGTCAAAAAACGGAACCCTGGATCAACCCCCATTTTGCCGGAGCCTGGGGAAGAGCAGGGCGACTCCCGCATCTCGATCTGCCCGATCCAACTCTTCACCGCGCGCACCTCCCGGTCGCCGGACACCACCTCAGAAGCGGCAAAAGGGCGCAGTGGCGCAAATCATGCTTTAAAACAAGCAAGAACAATGTTTGTGTTGTTAATGCCAAAAAAAAGGAATATCAATCATAACAGTAATAAGAAAAAAAACCAAAACAACGATCAAACAAACAAACAAAAACGGTGGGACAACAGACGGAAACAGACAAAAACAACAAAACTAAACTCTCAAACAAACATAAACAGACAAAAACAGACAAACCCCGACAAAACAAACACACACACACACACACACCAAAAAAAGACAGAAGAAGGAGGAAAAAAAAAACGAAAAAACGACAAGTCAAACAAACAAACAAACCAAACAAAACAGACCCTGGTGCCCTTTGACAGTGAACCCAAAGAGAGTTGTTTGAAACAAAAACGTAGCTTGTGTAAAAACAGACAATTGACGCCCCCTTGGTCAGTCAAAGGAAACTCACTTTTGGAAGGCAGTGCCAGCGTGAGTCCATCACTTAAATTGCCATCCTGCAGCTGCTGAACGTCAGGGGAACTTTTCTGGGTGAATTGTAATATTTCACCAACCTGAAATAAGGTGGTTGGGGACTATTCCCCACATAAACCATCATTTGGGGTGAGGTCGTGTGAGGTCGCGAAGACTGGTGCAATCCAAAGGGGCTTCTGTTTCTAACTGTTTCTTCCCGACAATGCCACTCGACCGAAGCCTGACTTGCGAACATGGTGCCGGTGAAAATGACTTGGAGCAAAAGGAAACAAGACCAAAGGATGTTGGCGTTGCACGGGATGCGCAAACAGAATCTGCAGAGCAGTGCTCTTTGCTTTGGGGCCAAACAACACCAGGCCCTGCTGTACAGGCACCGCGCTCGCTTGCGCATCGCCAGCTTTCAGCGCTTGATAAATGCTCTCAACCTGAAGGCAGGTGGTTGGCTGGAAACTGTCAAATCAACCCGAACATCAAGCTCTAGCTGAGAAACTCATGGCATTTGGCGGTTGATCAATATTCCCTTCGGCCCCCAAATGATCATGGGCAACTTGTTTCCCGTTTCGTGGTTGAAAAATATCATGTCTTTTTCTCATGGTTTTCCCGCCAACGGACATCCCATGCATCACGCACCTTTTCACCAACCCCCAGCCGCGCTCTCACGTCAAGCGCGTGCTTCGCGCGCGAAGGAGTCGCGCCTCGGCATCCTCCGCTTCCTCATAGGGCTCGATGCCCAACTCGTTCTTGCGATACCAAATGCTCCGGCGGACAGGGCACGAGACATTGGCGTACCTGCGGTGAATGCATGTCTTTCCCGGGTGTGCCTTCCAAACTCCACTGAAACTGAAACCGTTGGCAGTTGGCAGCTGTGTTCAGGAGAAGTTGAGCAAGAAGGAAAGTATGCTGAAGGGATGCATTCGCAAAGGTGGAAGTGAGGTTTGGAGAAGTCCGGCTAGCAAAGCACGAGTGGCCGAAGAAGAAGAAACAAGAAGAACTACGTAGAAGAAGAAGAACGCAGGTCGCTGGAAATTGAGAATCATGTGAAGGCGGGATGGAATTTGCACAGCGCACTGAATGGACCGCTCCCGTGCTGGGAGCCGTGCTATTCCGAAGCCTACTTTTGGTAACCCAACCTCGGGGAGAGGGGGCGGTGAATAGCACATGGCCGCACCCACAGACAAATATCATTTTCAAGCCGTACCTGGGAAAAGAAGTCTACAACAACTCGATGCAGTATGGTTACAACCCACTTATCATGGTTAAAGGTCTCCGTTAAGTGGCCTAGAACCAAACTTACTACCCACTTACCAAGTTCCCGATCGCCCCTTCAAGTGGCCCGGCGCGATTTCCGCCTGTCCAGGTAGAGCCGCTGCTGCAGGTCCACCTAAAGTTCAAGCCAAGCTGCCGTCCGGAAAAATGAATGGGGGGGGAGCGTTTTTTACATTTGGGCGACCAAACCTTATTGCGGTGTCCCCCCACCCCCCACCCCAAAAAAAGATGCATTTTTTGGATGGTTGTAATGTCAACCTGGATTGCTTTATCAATTGAAAAAAAAAAAAAACTCCTAAGTTGGTCGATTCCTGGGTCCAGTTGTAGTCCTCTGGATGCGGTCCCTAGATTTGGAAACACCCAAACTTCTCCAAGCATTGCCTGACTTGCAGATGCGCTTTGTGTATCTTCATGTGACTTGCCCAAGCTCCAATTGTAAGCTGTTGAATCTCGCCTCTTCGGATGTTTGACTCACAAAAGCACTACCTTTCTTTTGGATGCAAATGCCCAACATCTCCTTCCCCCGTGCTCCTTTGGTCCTCTGGCCCCGTTCCCCGCCCCCCCCCTCGCATGATATCGACGCTTTTGGTCTATTGTGCAACCTCCACTTTTTGTTTTTTCCGGTTCTTGGCTGAAAAAAATCGACTCCAGATCTCTCCCAGTCCCCCCCCCCCCAAGCCCCGCGGGCTTCGGCGCCTCCCCACGGCCGCCGTTCACCGGCACCGGCGCGCGGCGCGGAGCGGCGCCCTCGAGGCCCTCGAGGCTCTGCTCGAGGCGCCGCTGGTCGCAGCGCCGGAAGGGCGCCCAGGCGTCGGCGCTGCGGAAGAACCAGGCCGCCATGGCATGGCATCGACGAAAAGCCGATTGGGGTTTCACCGAAATCTAGGAATCCAAAACAAAAACAAAACCAAAAAACAACCCAACTGGGGTTTAGGGTCCCAACCAAAAAACAAGTCGAGGGCTTCAAATCCCACACAAAGAAAAACGGTGACCAACTCCCCCAAAATCAGCTTCTCTTTGAAGGGCAGTAAGGGCGTCCAATCCCACCAAAAAAAAGGCACTTGCCAACTCCCAAAAATCCAATCTCGCCCAAAAAATGGTGCTTTGGAGTTGGTGGTGTTGCGGCGCAGCTCCAGAACTAGGGGTTCAAATCCAAGTTAAATCACTAATTTAAACCAAAGGGTTGCCTGGTGTGTGTGTGTGTGTGTGTGAGCGCCTTTTTTGGGATTTGGACCCCCCAAAATGGATTTCGGTGTTCCTTTTGTTTCCCTTGAAAACCATAAACAAAAACGGTAACCTCAAAAAATGGCACGCCCAGATAGGTGTCCGTTTTGGTGGAGAAGTCCTCAAGTCGGAAAGCAGGAATGTAGAATTCGCCAGGAATGAGTGAGGCATAGAAGCCTGTCTTGAAATTCCGGCATCGTTTAGACATGGTTCAACCAATCTCTCATCTCGAATACCCACATCCGTATGACTACCCATCTGAGGGCCTGAAATGAGTGCAAGAAGTGAGGGTGAGGTCTTGAGGTCGCATACGTTTGGGCTGTGCAAACAACGCTAGCTTGAGCCTGTCAACGGGGTGTCAAAATGTATAGTGGAAGGAAGTGGCCCTTGCATGTTTGACAAGCTCGATGATCGGCCCCAACTGGAAGCAAGTCAATTCAGCTGGCCGTTGGGTCAATGGATCCGTTGGGGAGCCACTCCTGAGGCGTGGTGAGGCAAATGAGATTTGAATCCTCGCTGAGCAGCCAGCAGTTGCATCCTCAAAGTCCCTGTCGCCGTTGAAGCCTGGCTTCTGGCTTCTGCTGCGCAGTTTGGCCGACCACATTCGGAGATTCTCTCAAACTCAACCACCAAACAACCGAATGTGGTTGGTTTCCTTTCAAATGGCGGTTTCCTTTCAAAATGGTGGTTGAGTGGGTACAAGAGGTGTCCCTTCAAAAGCACCAACCACCAAAAGAAGAGCAAGCCATTTCGCGGCCGCCCTGGTGCTGTCTTGCCTGCGTTCTTGCCCTTGACGTCCACCTCCTGTCGGGTCATGTCGACACCTCAGACATCCGGGCGTTCCATTGGCCAATGGCTTTCCCCAAGCCAAGAGGTTTGAGCACTGCGAGTTTTCCTAAGGTCTGCACATGGAACTTTGGAGTCTGTAAAGTCTGAACTATTGCTAAAGATTGTCCAACTCATCCGTAGGCTGCCCGCAAGAACATCTACAACAAAGTGAAATCGCTAATTGAAACTTGTTGAAAAAGGGCCTCCATGCGCCCCATGCCTTGAAGGCTGATGGTCGCAGCACGAGTGGTATGCAACAAATGAACGACACCCAAAACCCTTGACTTTGGCTTCCACTCACATGGTCATAAAGCTTTATACAGGATGGACTATAACCTCAACAACCTACTAAAGCGTCCAATATGGATTTTGGGCGCTGCTCAAAATGCGCACAAAGTATCAACAGCGTCCGTGTTTGTGCTGCTACTTTCGAAATGCGCGCTCTTCAAGAGTGATTTGCAAAACTCAGCTTCTGTCCAAGGACTCTCAGAACGAGTGCATTGCCAAACATCTGTTCAAGGAATAACATCAGCAGGGCTGCTGCTGCTGTACCATCACTACGAGTCCCGTGACATTTTATGGAGGCTTGCCAAACACTCTAGCGTTGCCCGCCTACCTTTGCCATCCAAGTTTGGCATCCAAAACGGGATCCGCAACAGGGCCCGTACGGGTCGTCCTTGTTTGAGGGAACCCCTTTTTGGGGTTGTTTTAAGGGAAACCAAAAGGAAAACCACAATTTCGGGGCAAAACAAAACGTCTCTGTTTGGTAGTTTGAAGGGGAGGGAAACCAAAACTTATCTTGGGGGTCCAAATCCGCAACAAAGACGAGCCACCCAAGTTCCGTTCACCGCTTATTGAGGCACCCAAATCCTCCGACCTGAGAACCTTTTTGGTGCCCCGGCCGCAGGTGCGCTCGAAGGAGTTGAGCATCCGCTTGTTGCCCTTCTTGAAGCGGTGCCCTACCTCGGCAAAAGTCCCTGGCAAGCTGCCCCCGAAAAGACTCGTTTGGAGCCGCGTCAACGCGTCAACCCCCCCCCCCCGCCGCCAAAAAAAAACAAAAAAGAAAAACATGCCCCTTTTGGCCTGGGGAAGAGAATAAAACAACTTGCCTTTTGGCCTGAGGACAGGAATCTTTAGACTCCTCAACCCAGGCAGGTTGCAGCAGCCAACATAACTAGGAGTGCAGAATAAACCGATCGGGGAAGGAAAAACAACAACTGTCTACCCCTTTGGCCTGGGGGAAAAATCAGGGACCCCATACAGGTGTCCATCTTTCACGGGGTGTCCTTTTTTGTTTCCCCCAGAGCCTCCCTAAGAATCGAAAGGCAAACCCTAGTCTGCCCAAAGCCATACAAAGTATTGAAAGAGCCGCCTTTTTGTGCTTGGGTTGTTTGTCTCACTAAACTTCATCTAATTCCCTGAGATGGCTTGTGGCCCAACTGACGCGACCACCAAACTGGGGCGAAATCTTATGATTAGTACACGATAGGTGCTGTGTGCCCCTTAGGATGAATCGAACTCGATGTTGACTCTGGCAAACCACAAAAGAAGCTAAGTGGGGTTGTCTCAAAATAGGGCCCCTCCACATTTGTTGTTCTTTTCAACCAACCCGTTGTTACGGTGCCCTTCAAAGGGACGGACCCAAGGCATCTCTGGACTGACCCACCGACCGAAATTCGAGTACCTGGGCACCCGGGCTCGACGGCCAATGTCCCAAGGGCTCGCGTCCTGATTTGCGTGCATCACTCCATTTGCGTGCAAGTCCCCTGGAAGAAATAGTGACCGAAAAATCCAGCAGTGACGGATTTGCTTGAAACCCACAGGAAAAAAACTTTCGCAAGCAAATGGAAGACCAACAGGTCCGAGGTGAAAGACCAAGAGCCTAGCTCCTGGCAGGGTACTCTGTCAAGATGTGAAGGGGCTTGAACAAAAACATCCCACAGTGGCTGCGTTCTGCACAGCCACACAAAACCTTCATGACTGGACTGTCCTCAGATCTCCTGGTAAAAGTTAAACTTTTAGTGGGTTGAAAGGAAATAACAACTAGACCCTAAAACAGGCTAAAAAGCTAAAAAGCTAAGGGGATGGCTGGGAGCCACCAAGATGAACAAGCACTTCATGTCAGGTCTGTGGAAGTCTCTGGATGTCGTGTGCTCGCTTGAAGGGCATGGTTGAAAGCAAGCAGGCCGTGCTTTCTCTAACCGGAACTGGATATCTCCGAGAAAGCGTGCACTCACCCGTTTGACCGACGCTCCTTGGGCCTCACGGTCGTCCAGAAGACGGGCGTTGGCAACGGCATCTCCAAAATCTCCTTGCGGGTTCGGGGTGCATTGCAGGGCTCCCCCAGGCTAGAATTCACCGGACGCCAAGCTTCACAAATGACTCCGAAGTGGGGAAGGCCGTTCTGCAATTCTCAGCACAAACTCAGCTCTTCGTTTAGCCAATTATTTGCAGCTCAACCAGAGCTCGCGATGACAGAAGCTGCAGGGTCTCGAACCTGTCCTCATCCATGGGCGTCAGCTTGTTCTCCCAGGGATCAAGAAGAGCATCTGCGCGTGCCTCAAGAGAGCAAAGGGTGGCCCCAGGCGGCATCACGCAAAAAAACCTTGTGCTCCCCCCGCCCCGTTTGCTTCGAAAAAGGAGGTCGCTGCCCGTGCCAGTGGTATCCTGGCAGGGTCAGAATAAATCTGCAAGCTGGCAGGGGGCGAATGGTCCACACCACGTGGAACTGATCCACTTGCGAGCTGCTGTTTGACATGGTATGTGCAGGTAATACTCAACTCACAATATACAACAGTAAAACAATGCCAATTGGCTGAATCGGCATAAGACTCAAAACCGTCAGCTTGTGCCCCGCACAGCTTCCGCTGAGAGTATCTTCTAAACGCAGCTAATCACAAGGCGTTATCAGCCAACCAGGGTTCATGAAGGCAACAACCGCCTTTTTTAATAAACAAACATGGACCCCCCAAAACGCGCAACGGTTGTCCTTTGTGGTTTCCCTTTACAACCACCAAAAAAAAAGTGCCAACTCCAAACAAAACGAGCCAACCAACTGTTCTACAAGGTGACCGCTAAAAGAGGCCAAGGCATCCGTCTCATCGTAACCCGTTGCAACCCCAGAAATGGAACTCCTCTCAGTGCACACTCCTTATGAAGTCACACACACACACACATTCAGCTTCCCTCAATTTGTTGCTTTGACGTAGCCGCCGCCAAGGGCCGTCGTCTAGTTTGGCTGGTTTGGTCCAATCCAAACACTCCAAACCAGTTAAGGGGAGCCGGTTTTTTGGAGATGGGAAACGCCCTTTTGGCGCGATTTCACCCCCCCCCCCCGGCATTTGAGGCTTTGGATCGATGCCAATGGGAAGCACACAACAACCTTGGGCTGTCAGATCCCCTGCTTCCCTAAAACGCCTAAAACCCTCAGGAACCAGATGCCTGTGAGTCAAACATAGGGTGACCCCAAAATGGAACCCTGGCAAATGGACACGTGGACCAAAACCTGCGGTCCCGGGTTTAATTTTGACCCATACCCATCAGATCGCTGGGAACCGCCAAGAACTGAGGGATCCATTTCCTGCAAAGCGATCTGTCGAAGATCCGATCCGATCCCCGCCTTTTGCTCTGCGAAGATCTCCGGGTTCGAGCCCTGGTCCTCGCGCGAGTCTGAAGGGAGGCTCCCACTGGAAGCATGCGACAAATTCCCTGCGAGGGAGGCAAACCGGGGACACGCCTTAGGACATGCACCAAGATATGCGGCCAACAAAAACCTGAAGGGCTTGGCAAAATGATTCTCATTGATGGCGGGAGTATCACACAAGCCCTTCCAAATTGCTCACCCAAGCCACCCACACTTCTCGATTGACTTGCTGGTTCGATAAGCAGGGAATGAGAAATCGAATGACCCCGACAGAAAAAGCCATCCAACCTATGGTTTCCTTCTTCGGAAATCCCCTGAACCGGTGCATTCCCACCCGGAAACGCGGTCATGCCCTACCTATCGCAGCAACTCGATGTGCCGGGGCTTCGGACCCTGCAGTGCGGCTCTTGGTCGTTCCCAAAGAGACGGGCCTGCACCTGGCACCGATGTGAAGTCTGCCACATGAGCGAAGCTCGTCTTTGCTTTAAGGGAGCCCAAGTTTTGGTTGGCTTGAATGGGAAACCGGAAGAAAGATTGAAAACCGTTGAGCCGATGTTGGGGTCCAAATCCCAAACAAAGGCAGAGCCACGTGCAGAACTCAGACGTCCAATTGCCAAGAGCCTTTCCTCTGATCGCCGGTCTGAGGTGTTCTTGGTGTTGATAACTCATGGGTGTTTCGATGCATGTCCTGCGAACCTGTCCCCCCAGCCCTTGTAGCTGAATTATTGAAATCCGAATCCACGGGCACAACAAGTAGGGTGTAGTTCTTTGGTGGAGACTCCTCTCAGGGGAACAACATCCTGGTGTCTCCCAGCGTTCACCAAGGTGGACTCTTGGTTGTGTCCCTTTTCCGGAGGGTGGTGGCTTGAATTTGAGATGATTTTTTGATTCCCCGTCGTTTGTGTCATTCTGTTTCATCAACTGACAACCCAGTCGTACTGGGCTACCCTCTGGGTATGAGTCAAACACGACGAGCCTTTCTTGGAATGGTCTACAAAGAAATTGTGCGTGAAGCCGTGGGCTTTTCGACTCCCACGCACCTATCTCTGCATATCAGGTGGCTGTTCTACTCTCTTCTCTGGGTGCATTTGACTGGTACGCAGTATAACCAATTGAAATGACTATGTGTGAACAGTCCTTCGGAATTGTGTATCAGAGGTTATGCGGTGCTCATCCCTCGCTCTCCTTCTCTCTCTCTGCACTACGTCCCTCATCAGACCCGCAATCCAACCCTGCAGCCAACACAGTCGTCTTTTTCCGCTGGCGCACTGGGCGCACTGCTCGGCCCCGCACATCCGCCGCTCGGCCGCTCACTCGCATCCACCGCCGTGTCCGCTGGGTCCGCCGCATTCGGCGAGTCCTTCCGCTTGCGCGACTGGACGTCGGGGTCGGCGACCTCCTTCACCGTCACGGGAGAGAGCACATCAACCAGGCCTTGGAAAAGTAGCTTGGGCACGTGAATGTAAGAGACTCCTGCAGAAACTGGCATGGATGGGATGAGCTTGACAGTCATTCATGAATTGATGGTTCAGAAGCAACTAGACGCCCCCAACCAACATGGCAAATCTGTGAGGAACCCCCTTTTTTCCAGTGGCATCTCAATTATTGTGGCCATGTCATCCCTTCACTGTGATGACAGTGGACATTGTTGTTATGGGCCAATGTGATCTTCAGCTTCAAAGGTTTCCAACGACGGGTACTTGTATCTGAACATTTTGGTATGGCTCAAATTCAACAGCTGGGGTTTCTCCACGCAGGTTTTCGTCTTTCCATATGCCAAGGTGCCGTTTTGGGGGATTCCATTTTTTTAGCCACAGACATGTATTGAACATTCCGCTGGCGTCGTTGGTGCTGCGTGGCTGTAATAACGTGGGTGCCTTTTTTTGGAGTTGGTACCTCTTTTCTGTGGCTTACAGGGAAGCCACCAGGAATAACCAAAATCCATTGCCTTTGTTTCACTCGTTGTTGTGGCTTTAAAGGGAAGCCACTCGGGAAACCAAAATCCATGTTGTGGGAGGGCATCCACAACAACCCACCGCCAGGTTGCAATGGCGAACTTCGCAGGGAGCAGATCTCGACGCCTGGAGAACGAGATCCCCCCGATTCTGACTTCGCGTGGACAAAATCATGCCGTTTTTGTTTTTTTGCGATTGCTATATCTATATGTATATATACAAATATATGTACATAGCCTCCCACCCAGGAACATGGAACCTGACAGGGGGGCTCCTGGAAGACCTTGGTGGAAGTCCTTTCTGTTCTGTGATGCAAAGGGCCGTCTGCATCTCTATCACTGGAGTTGGTCGAGGTGCAGAAGTTGCCAGCATGGACCTGTGATGAAACCAGTGTGTCGACCGTTTTGTCACGCCTCATGTTGGGCTCCAGCAAGTGTCCGCTAGCTAAACTGCAGGATGCCAAGCAAGCAACAGCATATGCTAGGTTTGAAGTTCTAGGTTTGAAGCCTTGAGCTAGCAGCCAAGTGGTAGAAGGAAGCGGTGTGGCCTCCTGCTTCTTTCCATTTGCAAAGTCCTCTTCGTCGAAAGGTCTGAAAACCGTTGCCTCGTCCTGCGAGCGCAAGAATCAGCCGATCGCCCAGGGGGCGCACGGCCAATGTCTCAGGCCTCAGAGGTTTCGGGGTGCCCAAAGAATACCGAGAGGCCATGCCAAGCTTTGGAAGACATGAGTCAGTGTGAAGGGAAGCGGAACACAGACATTCCACTTATTGCTAGACCCCCCCAGACTGTGATTCACCTTTCGGCACCTTGCCGTCCACTGGGTTCAAAACCAAAACGTGGGGTTGGTATCAGAGCCATTCAACCAACTGTTGCAATCGTTGGAACCCTTCGTCCCTGTGTGCCACTGCTGCAACCTGGTGACCATTCATGCTACACCTGCCACGCGTCCTACCCGTCCCCCACTGACTGGCCCAGCACACGTAGATTGATTTTGAGGTGATTACCAACCAGTTGGCGTACCAAGCCAACAGTTGCAGCTAGCACTTTGGAGATGTTGCAACTCTGAGCCACAATTTGAACCCGCTACTCATATATATGTATATATATATAGTATTTTGTGTTGCATTATATGACATTATATTATCTCATATTATATTATATCATATTATGTTATTTTATATTATAGTATTATGTACTATACGTCAGCCTTAGACCTCAACACCTTCGGGCGGGTAGAACTCGCCACAGGTCCGTCTGAATTCTCAGTGACTAAGCCCTGGACTCCGTGCAGCAGGTGACCTGCTCCGCCTCCTGCTGCAAAGTCTCCGGCTGCCACACCCTGAAGCTCGGGCCGTTGCCGAAACGGGGAGGGGAGCGCGGACGGAAGCGTCGTACAGTGCGCTCACAAAACAACGGGGAAAAGAAAAGAAGACAAAAACCAAAGTGAACCATTAAAAAAGACACAATTGCAAAGGCTGCCTTCAAAGATGGAGACTGTGTTTCATTTCAGCTTGTCCAAAAGGGCGAGGAAAGAGGAGTTTTCGTGAGAGCAATGTCACTGGCTCTCCGTAAAAGCACAGACCGGAGACCGGACATGTGTGTGTGTGTATACCCACGTACTGAACTACGTGCAACATCCAACCGCTTCGAGCCCCCGCAACAGCTGCAGAGGCACAAACAGCAACAAAGAACTCGGAGAGAACGTCCGCTGGGAAGGCATAGCTTAGCTGCTGAGGGAACCTGCTTCCCCAACACCAGTCGAATGGAGCTTCAGAGGGCTCCCAGAAGGGCCTTTCCGTCTTAACCTAAAGCACTGGGCATTGAATGACTGCAACACAAAGTAAAGCCCGCCAGAAGTCCAACACTTGTTGGCCATACTAATCTCAAAATGCTCGCAACACGGCTCTGTCCCCCCGAAATGATGTTGAAGCCACCCACCCGCCCACTCACCCGTCCCCCACCACCAAAAAAAAAACGAAATCCCCCCCCCCCCCCCGCCCACCCCCACACAATCAAAACAAGTAACCAACACAAATACTACAGGGGTTACTGGAATTCCCCTTCAAATGCTGATCAATTTGGTGTCCCTTGAAACGACCGCCGCTGTTGGGGCATTGTGCTTAGCAAGTGTGAGATCACCCACAAAAGCCATGACTAGAAGTCTCCGTTCAGTGGGTTCTAACCGAGGGTTGCTACCCACTTACTAACTTAACAATGCCTTTTTAACTAGGTCCCCCAGTAGAGAAGTTAGAATAAGGGTACCCTTTTTGGTGTAGTCTATTTTAGTAGGAACCCTCCCAACCAAAAAAGGGGAGAGGAGGGCACTACTGGGGGACCAAGTTACACCACCCCGACTCCCCCCGTCCCTTGCGGCACCGAACCCACCACCCCGTGCGCCGCCTGAGGCGTCGGTCCAAACCCAGGCTCAGCACCCGGCCGCTTGCCCAGGCCACCGCCTTCCTGAACGGAAGAACCCGGCGGAGTTGGTTCCCCAAAAAACTAGGGGTTGATTCCCTTTCCGTTCTTTTTCTAACCGTTGTTCTTTTCAAAAACCGGCTGTTTCCCCCCTGGGTTGATTCAAAAACCATCGTTCTTTTCAAAAACCGGATCTGTTTCCCCTGGTTTCCTGAAAAGAAGGATCCCTGGAAAGAATGGGGAAGGTACCCCTAGAAAAGAACACACCGAAAACGGGGCACCCCTTGGGAATTTCGAACACCTGGCCATTTTGGGAGGTCCAGCCTTAAAAAAGACACATGTCTTTTGTTGAGGGTACTGTATCCATTTTGTGTTGTGTTGTTTAAAGGAAGGCTAAAGGGATCCCCCCCCCATTTTGGGGGTCCCCTCAAAAACACGCGCACACACGCACACACAAGACCCCACTTTGTTTGGCGAGGTAAAACGAACCAGGGAAGACAATTTTGTTGATGTTGTTTTTGCTTGGGGTCTCAAAATAGATGACCCACCTGTTCACTCTCTTAGGGGGAAACCGCAAGGAACCCTTGCCATGTCTCAAAATGGCAAGGGCTTCCTCTTGGCTTCCCTTGAGATACCAACCAAGGAGTCCACGCGTTTGAGAAACTTCCAAATGAGCAGCTACCAGAAGGTTGAGAGAGGCGGTTAGCAATGACCAGGTAGTACAGCCACCTAAACATGGCCAATTCAGGGTTCGGGCGCTCAGTTGGGGGTGCTGTGTCCCTTTGGCTTTCCCTTCACCCGAACAACGGGCCACCAAATTGGATGGCCTGCAACACGGAAATCCAAACGGATTTTAGCATTGGGCTTGGGTTCGGGGCTTGATATCAGTTCTACCCGGAAAAAAGAAAGAAGGAAAAAACAACCTGCAGAAAAGACAGCACCACATGCAACAATTTCGAAAAGGGGCCAACTGGGTTCCTTGGCGGGTGCAACGTGTGTAGTGTTTTTTCCGAACTGATTGATGCTCACGAAGATCAACTTGAATTCTCTTTGCCTCCAGTTCACGGAAACACGGACGATTCTATGAATCGACCCACGTAACCCATGTCCCCATGTTGAGCCCAGCAGCTGTAAGGCATATTCTATCTATCAAGGTGTTCATACCAGGGTTCAGTATTCAGATGCACATTTATATACATGCCCATTTGAAAAAGGTGAACGTGAGAGTACGAGTTGATGTTGTGTTATTTTGCTGGCACCCTGTTCAGGCTGCCCCTTAACCAACAAACTACCAATCCAAGCCACCAAGTATACTGGTTACCTGAATCTCTAGGGTCCAATTTCCACGAGAAGAAAATTCAAAGTGCCCCTCCTGAGTGGATTGGCAGGAAAAGATCTGAACTCTTTTCTTACCACTAAAATGACAACCCTTTGCTTCTTCGTCTCATGGGGATTCGGACTTGAACCCATGGCTTTGGTATCGAAAAAGTTTCAAAAACAAAAAACCAAGGGCCAATAGTTCGATCGAGCTTCACCGCCGAGCTGTGGGCTTCCACCCGCATGGAGCTGACCAAAACCCATCGTCCCGAGGTCCGCCTGACTCAGCTGGCTGAAGTTTTTCAGGGAATCACCCGCCAAAGCAGTTGCTTTGCTCTGTGGTTTTGGCTTTTTTCCTCTTTTTGTTGGCGTCTTGTTTGGGGTAACCTGTTTGAGCTTGGTTAAAAAAGTATTCACAAGGAATGCATCCCCTCCCCCTCCCCCTTCTTTTGGGAGTTTCCCGACTTTGACACATGCCCAGGTTGTTTTTGTTGATTCACTTGGGAGGGCGTACTTACAATCACACATTGATAGATCCTGTCGGCCTCCTTGTTCCTTCTCTTTTTCCCCCTCTTCGCCTACTTCTGCGTCTGCCTCGTCAGTTTATCTGCCCTGCTTGCTTACTCTTCTCTGTGGTCTGATCTCGTCACGAAGAACCCATTCGGATATGGGTGTGTCTTTTGAGGGTATCCTTTTTTGGGTGGGTTTAAACAGAACCACCAGGAGAAACATGTGGCTTGCTTCATGAAACACAAGTACAAGTGGCGCTCGCGCGCTCGCGCTCTCGTGCCTGAGCCGTGCCAGCGCGATGCGGTGGTCGTCCCCAGCCGTCACAACCCGCACAGCCGTGGGATCCGCCAGGTCGCTCTCAAGCGCCAAATCGTTCAGGCCCGCATCATGGAGCTGCACCTCTGGGCCGCTTTCTCCCCCCCCCCATTCTGTCCGGTTTCAGATCCACAAAGTGACTGGTTTAAGGAAAACCCAACCACTAGACCAACTGAAAGCCTGAAAGCCTCAAGGGATGGCTGCGAACACCAAGGATTGGTTAACACTTCATGTTGGTATCCCTTTGCTCATGTCATTAAGAGAGGATTCACTCTTGTTGATTGCCGTTCATGCTGATCTGGAGTCAAGCCAAGGTTCCAAAAAAGGGCTCCGATAGTGTTTTGGGTGCCGTTTTGCTTCGGGAAATCCCTTTCCCAGACTGTTGCGATTTTAGCGCACTTTGTTGGACATTGATGGCAAGGACCTCGTTGAGGGCCCGCGACTTGGAGCTTGCTTTGGGATCGAGATCTGCTCCCTGAATTCTTAGATACCCCGTTTAGTTTGGGGGGGGGTTATCAAAAAAATGAACCCCTAAAATGTTGTTTACCGCGTTTCATTGGCGAAGTTCTCAAAAAAAACAAAAGACGAAGTCCCGACCAAGCGGGGTTGGGATGTCCAAAGCACCTCCCAGGACTCACCGACCCGCCTGGAAGACCTCCGGCGCTTCCGGCCCCAGGTCGCAGGCGCTCAGCTTGCCGTCCGCGGAGCCCACCAAAGCCGCAGCGGCCGAAGCGGCCGAAGCGGCCGAAGCGGCCGAAGCGGCCGAAGCGGCGTCGGCTGACCCAAGGCACGTCATGCACAGCGCGGTGGTGCCGGACACCTGGACGAGGGGGAACCATTTTGGAACAAAAGCTATTTTGGGGGGGTAAAATTGACACATGCCAAAATGGAAAAGGCATGTCTGAGTCAAAGTGTGAAATTTGCCCTGCAAGACGGATGATGCCGGGGCCATGTTTTGTGGTAGAGGTTCATGGCCGTGGGTCAATGACTGGCAGAACAACAAGAAAACAAGGCCAAGATTTGGGCGCTCACCTGGCACCGCCGCAGGAAGGTCGCATCCGCGTTGCCGCCGGAGAGGCAGCGCTCCACATCCAGGCGCCAGCTGCGGAGGAGCCCGCTGGAGGAGGCGGCCGCCACCAGCAGCTCACGACTGAAACTCACGCAGCCCAAGGCCATGATGCGCTCCTCCAGGCGACTCTCCTCCTCGCCCTCGATCTTTACCTTCCATTTGCTTTAGCCCCCTGGACAAAATATTTCCAGTAGTGATCGATTCCTTTTACAACCAACAGGAAAAAAAACGATTCTTAAACAAATGGAAGTTACCGGGTCCTCCGCGGCCAGAGAAGTGGCCCACACAGGCCTCCCCGCCAGGTGCGCGCGCAGCGCGCCCTTGGCGCCCCCGGAGAGCAGCAGCGGCTCCGCGAGCTTCGCCGCGCAGAGCGCGCGTACTGCCCCGGGGAAGCGCACCACGGTGCCTGTGACAAAGATGGCCCTTTCCGTGATACCAAAAGTTGAACATCCGGTGAGACCATGGCCACCTTGAGCAAAGTTTGCCATCCTTTCCGTGATACTTAACATCCTTGACCAAAAAGATCCTTGAAGGCAGACCCAAACCACCAAACCAACGAAAAGCCAAAAACAAAACAAGAACCTTCCAGAATCCCTATGTTTTAAGCCAAACAGAAACCCAAGGAACCTTCCAAAATCCATGTTTTTCCCCACCAGGCTGCCCTCCGGCTCTGAATTCTGGCCATCCCCCGCCCGCAGCAGCCGCAGCGTGGTGTCCTCCGAGGCCGTGGCCAACAGCCCAGGCTGCAGCCAGCAGGCCTGGTGGATCTCCCGGCCGTGCAGCGGCTTCTTCAGGCCCACCTGAGACCCAGAAAAAATAAGCTCAGGTGATGACAGCATGCAGAACCTGGTGGAACCCTGGTGGAACCCTCGTGGAACCTTACCTCCGGGCCGCCCTGGACCACCCGAGACCCCAAAGCTTTCAGCTGTTGGGGGAAGGCGAAGCCAATTGGGCAAATCGGTGTGAGCTTGTTTGTAAACTAGAGAGGGGTACGCTGCGGGCCCTGTTTTCCATATGAAATAGTTGTTTTTGCAGGGCCCAGGCACCCTTCTTGGATGGTTTTAAAGAGAAACCAAAGGGAAAAACCCACCCATTGCGGCGTTCCCTCATTTAAAGACGCGTCGCATGTACGTTCAGCGGCCATGGGCAAACTGGTCGACCGATTTCCGGGCTCCCCGAACCTGGTCGTCCATGGCGAAGGTGGAGTGGAACTCCAAAGTCTTCGAGCCGGAGGAGAAAGCAAAGGTAAAGCTGCGCCTGCGATCCAAAGGCCACGCTGCTCAATTAGACAGCTCGGGCCAATGGAGTGAAACAGCCTCCCACAAGAAAAAAGCAAAACACGTTGTTCCTTCGATTTGGCCCATCTCCTCCTTTTTTTTCCAGGCGCCGGAGAAAAGAAAACGAACGAGCCCCGCCTGTCTGCCACCAGGCCGTGGGGCCGCTTCGCGCCGCCGCAGCGGAAGCGCCAAAGCTCCAGATTCGCCGCGGAGTCCCAAAGCACGAAGTCTGCAGACTGGAAGGCACCGATGAGCATCTGCGGCATGGCGTCCTCTTCCTGGCACCAGTCTCTCTCTCTCTCTCTCACTCTCTACAAACAAATCCCTGGATGTTGAAACAACCAGGTCAACCGGGGCCATCTATTGTTTGACCAAAACAACCGGAAAAGGACACTTGTGCCTGGCATGCATCAACACCGGAATGGCCGGTGTGGTTTGTGTTGCCTGATGGACATTTTGCCAAGGTCTGACTGCCAACTGGGCCTCGATTGAAGGCTTGCTTCTGGAGAACAACGGATGGTTGCAGGCAAGATTCCTGTTTCGTGTGAGAAGTTTCATGAATCCAGCAGGAAACGACTCGACTGCACCTCAAGTAATCACTGCCCACAATGATCACTGACCATGAAGTGTTTCTTTCCAAAAGCAGTGTGTTGCCAATCAAGCAGAACCCTCAATGCCTGACAAAGTTAGGGACAAGTGCGCGAAGGCCAAGCTACTTCCATCTGAAAGAAAGATCTAGTACATCTGAGCTCACATCTGCAACATCAGCAAAAGAAAATTGTGCCATGCATCCTCAAAACCTTCGAAGAAAGCAATGCTGCTTAAGCAACCAGTGTCAACCCACATGCGGCCAAACCAAACAAGACCGTCCAGCCCCTGTTCGAGAACCTGTCCCACAAAAACAAATGCCTCTAAAAACAAATCCAACTGAAGCCAGGGGAAACAAGGTTGCAGGTGAAATTCCATCCAAAGACTGAACGAGGGTTCCTTTGGATTATATCTCAATCTGTCAGTCCAAAAAACGCAAAAAGAGCCTCCAGCTAAATCATTTTTTTTTAAATCTGAAGCATCCACCTATTCCTCTCCGACCTTCCAAGTGTTGGGAACGAGCCGGTTTTGGGAGTTCGCCCTAAAACATGGTTTCAGGATCATTCCAGTCCTCATCTCCTGCATCTGTAGCACCAGCAAGGAAACCAGCCGCCCACCTTCCCACGCCCGCGTCCACACCGGGGCCGTGCCTCCAGCACCGCGAGCTGCGCCAAGTGCCGCAGCCCGCAGCCCGGGCGGAAGGTGCCCAGAACCGCCCACGAGACCTCCGCGCCTGCGGCGGCTGGAGCCAGCGGGAGGTCTTCGTGTCGATGCGACGTTTGTCGTCGTTTTGGTTCACTTAGGGCTACAGGCCATGGGTCAAAACCCCGGTTAGCCCCAGTGAACATCCCAATCCAACCACTAAAATAGGTTCTAAAGTGGGTGGGGCACCTATCCCAAAATGGTACCACTGGTTTTGAACCATGGGCCATGCTCTTGTTGTTTAATTGATATGAGGGCTGGCATAACTTCAAGTCCTTGTGAGTGAACTTGGATTGCCACATAAACCGCAGCTTGATTGTGGCCAAATGAAATTTGGTGAATGGTATTGTCATTTCACTTGTAAGGGCCAAAGTATTACACATCTTATTTTCTATGAGGTAACTTGATTCAATAGTACCCCTTTCTAATTGCTTATTTGGTGGGGGGGGGTGTCCCATCTAAGAGGCGACCCTGAGGAGATGTTGCTACTGCTGACTATTCAAACTACCGGGTTCCAATGTTATCCAAACTCACTTAAAATTGGCCCAAGTGGTGACGTTGGCACTGGCCCTTTCCAGGGAAGTTATGGTCAAATATGGCTGGAGTCAAACCATCGCAAAATGCTGCTCCATGGTTCTTTCAATTGCAGCCACTGGTACTCAAAAACAAACATGCATTCTAAGTCTACCCCAGTGAACTATCGAATGACATGTTTGATTCTGGAGCGATTTTGAGAACCTTTATATGTATACCTATCTACACATATGGTTGTGTCTTTCTTGCGATTACCATACTTTTTGTGTGGTTTTCAAGGGAACCAACAGGAACACCGAAATTCATTTTGGGGGGTCCCTGGAAACAAAACCAAACCATGTACATTTAAAAAAAATCAGCCTCCCGCGCCTTCCGCAAGCCGGTGCCGCAGCACCGCACCGTCGGCGCCGGCGGAGAGGAACTCCCCGGGCTCCTCGAGGGCGCGGAGCGCGAGCACCTGAGCCGCCGGAAAACCGCGCGGAAAACCGCGCGCGCACGTGCGGCGCAAGGTTCTAGCTGTAACTTCCATTTCCATTCTTTCCAGGGATCCTTCTTTCTAGAAAACCTCCGGAAACCCAGGCAAAGGAGTTTGATCTCGCATTGTTCTTTCTTAGACTGTATATTATGGGCTTGTAAGGATTTGCACCCACAAACGGCGGCTTCCTTTTGGTTTCCCTTTAAAACCACCAAAAAGGGGGTACCGACTTCAAAAAGCGATACCGCAGTTTTTGGAATCGGACCCCCCTTTGCTTTTGGGTTCCTTCCGTTCATTTGTCGGGAAGTAAATCCCTGACTTTACGGCAGAAGTTCTGGCTCGGCGCGCCTTGCCCTCGTGGCACTTGCGAAACTGCAGAGGTTCCTCCACAAAATGCGAAGCAGGTCTCCGTGAATAGACTGTACTTCAGATTTCCTTTACTCGGTGGTTTGGAGCCCAGTGGTTTGGTGGTGTTCCGGGGTGGGTTCCCATTTACGCCCTAACAACCAGAGGTTCAAATTCAAATCCAATCTCCCAAAGGAAGGACAAATCCAACCACCCATCGAAACTGCCCATTAAGCGCCACCTGAATAGACTATACTCCTAAAGGGCATCTTTTGGCAAAGCGGGCTGGGCAAATCATTCGGCCTTGCCAACAAACTGCAAGTAGACAGAGAACATACGTCTCGGCCCAATGGCGTCTGCCAGGAAAAAAGGCATCCACTAAGAGTCAGCCAATCTAGTGCCATCATGTACGACTTAAGCAAAACAAAAAGACTTACATATGGCCTATGGTCTATTCACGCCAACAGCTTCACCCAACATTTGGGTGTCCATTTCCTTGGGGACCCTTTGGTAGACATCGTTTACGTGGGGCATTTATATCCACCAACTTGCCAACCAATATTCAGGAGATTCCAACTCGCAAAATTCTGTCTTTATTTAGTGGACCCCCCAAATTGGTGGTTGTCCTTTCGGTTTTTCCTGTTCAAACACACAAAACAGGTACCGCTTCAAAGCAAGGTGAGCCGCCCATTTAAAGGCTTTGGTCCTTGAGGGCATGGACGACGCCGTGCTCGTCCCCCAGCAGCCAGCTGCCCAGCACCCGCTCCGCGCACAGCAGCCGCCGGTTCTTCTCGCCGCCAAGGCGCCAGGTGGCCTTTAAGCGCGGCGCGGGGCCAGGGAGCCACTGCTGCACCCGGCCCTGGTGGTCACAGAAGAGGCCCTGACAGCAAGGCCAAATCAACCCAACTGAGGTGCTGTGGCTTTTTGTTGTTCCTGTGCGGGTGTGTTTTCCAGCCAGTCGTTTTTGGAGGGGTTGGATGTTGCAGCCAGTGGTGAGTTGCAAAATGACAACAAACCCAGACAAGGTCTTGCCCCCCAAAGTGCGGCTCGAGGTTGACTGCTGGTGTGATTCCACCGCTGGTGTGATTCAAAACAGTGACCACGCGCACTGGGTGGCGTTTGATCAGCCACTAAGCAAGCAAATACAGCCAAGGTCAGTTAAGGCGTCGGAATTGGGCAGCTCTGGCGCAAGCAACCGCAAGACTCTGCACATTGCTTCCCTCGATTTCCTTAGACTTGTGAAACAGAATCCAGGATCCACCGTGACTCGTGCTCCCGGCCTCTTCCTCTGAGGCAAATGCTGCACCCACTCGGCACTGGTGAAAAACCTCCACCCAGGTGCCGCTCGGTTCTCCTTCGCTTTCGGCCACGATGCAGCCACGCCCATCCGCGCAGCCTGCCCAGATGTGGGCAGAAGCCGCTGCCATGGACGTGAAGCAGGCGCCATCGTGCTGGAAGAGCAACGTGGCATTCACCTCGTCCTCACCCTGGCCCGTTCACCCCTCCCCCCTTCAAACCTTCCCCCCCTCCCTTTGGTGGCAATTCTCGGTCTTTCTGGTTGCCTTTTCTTTGGGTGGTGCCTGGCACTCCCTCAAGTTCCATGTAAAATGTGAGCTCCTTGAGTCCCTTTCCGAGTGTACGGAAGCACAAGGTTTGGCCGTGGTTCCAATTTGCTCAGTGAGCCAAGCAAACCGGTTGCATGCTGTTGGTTGCCACTAGGGCTGAAAGTATGTGGATAGATCATCCGCTGGACGGCGTTCTAGGCATGCTTGATCGAATACGCATTGCCAGCTTGCCAGTTCAAGGGCCGTCTTTCTTGCAATAGGTTGACCTACAGTTTGGGAGTTCACGTCAGAACCTCGGCTTCCCCCTAGGTTGCTGGTTCGGATTGGTGGTTTAGTGGTTCGGAGTGGTTTCCCAGTTGCACTCTAAAAGAACCAGGGGTTAAAATCCAAACCCAAACCACACCAGTCCAAATCACCAACTAAGGGTAAGCTGAGAACCTTCCGGCCCCCTTTTGACCCCTTCAAAAGGCGGCAGCTGCCACTTCAGGCGGCCTCCGTCAGCTGCAGTCGGTAAAGCTTCCCGAAATTCGTGGCCACCAGCGCCCGCAAATGAGACAGGACCACCACCTCCCGGATCCAGTCCTTGCGGAGGTTCTTTCGAGGTGCAAGTATGTGGCTCGCCTTCTTTTTGAGGCTGCCCCTTTCTCTTTGTGGTTTCAAAGGGAAACCAAAAGGAATCCATGGAGGTCCCCAAGCTTGCATGTGTTCCGTCAAAACATAACCCGGAACCATAAATCATAAGGCATGCCAAGCTTGGAACTCTTTACAAGGAAATACAGAACTTGCAAAACGAACTGCCTGTCAGAACACACTTCCCAGTGTAATCAACTGAATTCCTTCAACATCCCCCCAAGACCCTAAAAGCATTTCGGTGTTTTCTGTTCAAACCTGCTTGCTCGGCCAAAACCGTTGCGTTGGGTAAGCGACAACATACGCATACTAAAGAGCGACCCTCACTTCCAAAGCGGACTGGCCGCAAAAAGTCCGGTCCAAACCCAAGAAGTTCTGAGTTCATGAACTCACGAAATGAGGACCTGAAGAGAACTAGACACAACAACCCGCGAGACGAAATTCATCCCATGGTTTGATTTGCCGTTCCAAGAGGCCTTGCCAAGAGGACTGTCTTCCATCAAAATAATCCGCTGTCAGCTGGAAAGAGGGCAGAACAAGTCAGAACTGATGCGTCCCTTTGGTGGTTTGGATTGGTGGTTTGGAAGCTCTGGGATGGCTTCCCAATTGCCCTCCACAAGAACGAGGGGCTCGAAACCGATCCAAACCACCAACCCAATTCCTTCTGTCCTTTGAGTTCGCCCCTACAGATACCACCAACATGACGACTCACTCCATCCCCTCCCTTTGAAACTCCCTGCGATTTTCGTCTTTTCACAAGCGAAGGCCAAAGCGGTCGGACCGGGTCCTCGGGCTGCGGCACCTGCCAAGACCTCACCGACACCTCGCCGCCCAGGTCCAAAGGCCAAAGCTTCACCGCCCCGTCCTCCGATGGAAGGAAACGAGAAAGACGCCGTTTCTCGCCCCTCACCACAACACCCTCCTTGTTTTGTTGGCTATGCCAAGAGGTGCGACAGAAATTGACATTTGAATTTTGGTTCGTTGTTGGTTTTGTCGCAACAAGAAGTGCGACAGCAATATTTGGAGCCTTCATTCATTTGGACAGCTGGATAGCAGGAAAAAACGATTTGGCTATATGTTGAACACCCAGGTTTTCGTGGTAAATGACCCTGGAAAACCTCTGAACCTGGCTGGTGAAAAGTGCTGCAAGCCGCCTTTGCAGAACAGGTTCAAGTCCACTCCATTCCATGCACCAATCAGTACAAACACCGGCTATGCAAAACTATCAACGCCCGCCAAAACTGTGTTTTCATATCAGCAAAATGGATCAAACAGCTGTCCCTTTCCTTGACACATCAGGAATTCCAAAAAAAAGCTTTCATCCGGAAATTTCAGGAGACCTAAGGAACCCTATCCAACCCCTGGGAAACCCGGCTGCAAGCCCCGACTGCCCCCGGGCGTGTGTTGCTCCCTCGCCCGCGCGCGCCTCTCCGCCGGAGGCCACCGAGTGCTCCAGGAGCTCCAGGCACCGCACGCCCCGCGTCTGGTGCCCCGAGAGCCGTCGCAGCAGCACGCCGCCGGCCGAGAAGACCCGCACCTCAGCGTCAGTCAGTCACTGGATAGTACCTGATCGCCCCTTTGAGCACCAGGAACAAATGAATCGGATGGAAACCCACCTGCAGGTCCTGTTTAACTTGCGGCACATGAAAAGAACCGGAGGTCAACTCTGACCGGGATAATGTCATGTGCCAGGTTGTCATGACTTGAGTCAGCTAGTGGCAGCTCATGATAGAACAAATGTGGTGGGTATGGTGACTGGCGGTGATGGGGCTGCTGCGCGACTTTTCTTTAGACCTCTAAGTGAGGCGGTATAGCAAGGCTGGTATGGCAGCCATAAATAAAGACCTCCAACCTGACGCTTCGACCTTTCTGCAACAAGTCAAGCTCTTCCTGAACTCAATGCCCAAGCCCTGCAATACCACCTGAGATTGCGCCCCATGATCTCCCGATTTTCCGCTTCTTCCCTGGACATGGCATGCATCCCTTGCTCCCCTCGCTCATCAGGGCGCAATGGAGTCCTCGGAAGCCGACACCACCAGGGCCCCCGTGGGCGCATCGGCCAGCAGCGCGTCCCACACCCGGCAGCCGTGGCCCCGGCACACCGCCAGGCAGCGCCAGCCCCCCACGTCAGCGCCTTCCGCCGGCGGCTCCGCGCCAAGCGGCGAGGCGGCGGTGCCCCAAACGCGCACGGTGCGGTCGTCTGAGGCGGTGACGATGGTGTTGGCGTCAAAGAGCCGCACGCGGAAGATGGCACCCTTGCAGAAATATGGGAATGGGAAAATGAATCACAAAATGCAAGCCGCAACAAAGAAAAGTGGTGCAATCTTGAGCAAACAAGAAAGCTCCAAGGTGTCGGCTGCCACCTCAGTACGTCCCAAGCCTGGTGACCGGCCAGCTGCAGCGCCTCCGCTTTCCCCGCGGGCCACAGCACCACGAAGCCGTCGAAGGTGCCCCCGGCGCAGACTGCGCCGACTCCCGCGCCCGCGACGTCGAATGCGTCCACCCGCAGCGCGGCCGAGTAGAGGAAGGAGACCTCTGCCGGCCCTGGGAGGCGCACTCCTGTCGGAAACCAAGTCAGACTTGCGCACCTGCCCGCATACAAGTCGTGTACATTAGTGGCCTCTCTGTGAAATCTGCCCATGCTTTCCCCTTGACAAGGATCTGCTTGCAGCCCTCTCCTTGTCGCAAGGCTCCTTCTTCCAGGTGCCACAGCTCAAGAAACACTCGTCCATATGCCACTACCAAAATCTCCTGGCGGTCGGGCGGTCGGGCTGTGGTGACATGGCAGGTAAAAATCATATCATCGGTGGCACAAACTCACATACAAAAGGTCAGCAAAATAGCCCAGGAAACTGAACAATGGCATGCAAGTGCTGAGCTGTCCAACTAGCACATCCCCTTGTCCACACGATTTTGGCGGCCAATATGATGAAGACAAGGACAAGGACGAGCACAAGGACATGGAGCATGACGTATACCACCAGCACAGCCATGAGGCTACCACAACGGCAACGGCCCAGACCACAAGCACGACAACGACCAGGACAACGAGGCAACGCACACAACGACCACCAACAACAACGACGACGACAACGACGACGAGGACCACCACCACAACCACAACCACAATCACGACCACAACATCATCATCATCATCATCATCATCATCATCATCAACAACCACAACCACAACCACAACCACAACCACAACCACAACCACAACCACGACCACCAAGAACAACCACAACCACAACCACAACCACGACCACGACCACAACCACAACCACAACCACAACCACCACCACGACAACGACAACGACAACGACAACGACAACGACAACGACAACGACAAGGACAACGACAACGACAACGACAACGACAACGACGACGAGGACCACCACGACAACGACAACCACAACCACAACAACAACAACAACAACAACAACAACAACAACAACAACAACAACAACAACAACAACAACAACAACAACCACAACCACAACCACAACCACAACCACAACCACAACCACAACCACAACCACAACCACAACCACAACCACAACCACAACCACAACACACCACAACCACAACCACAACCACAACCACAACCACAACCACAACCACAACCACAACCACAACCACAACCACAACCACAACCACAACCACAACCACAACCACAACCACAACCACAACCACAACCACAACCACAACCACAACAACAACAACAACAACAACAACAACAACAACAACAACAACAACAACAACAACCACAACCACAACCACAACCACAACCACAACCACAACCACAACCACAACCACAACCACAACCACAACCACAACCACAACCACAACCACCACAACAACAACAACCACAACTACAACCACAACCACCACCACAACCACAACCACAACCACAACCACAACCACAACAACCACAACAACCACAACAACCACAACCACGACCACGACCACAACGACAAACAACAACCCGTTTCAATCTACCCCCCTACCTACTTACTTACCCACCTACCTACCCAACTACCTACCTACAACCGACCGACCGACCGACAGACTGACGAGACAGACAGAGAGACACACAAAAAAACACAGAAGCAAACAAACCAACCAACCAACAAACATACAAACATGCAAACACGCAACATGCAAACCCGTAAACACACCAGAGCACAAACAATCAAACAAACAATTTCAGAAACAAACAACAACGAGCCGTACGGATGTCTCGTCGCGCACCGAACATACGCGCCGACGAGACCATGTCATGTTTCCATTGGACCCTTCCCCCCGGTAGCCCGCTGCGCCTGTGCCCAGGCCACCTCCAGCGGCCAGTCTGGCAGCCGCGCCCTGCACCGCAGCCGCAAGGCCACGGCCTCGTCGACACCGGCGGCCACCTGCGAGCGAGGTGGCAGGGGTACCTAGCCAAAAAACAATTGTACCCTCCCTCCAATCATGGAAGTGGACAGAGGAGTGAAGTAGTTGTCCAAAACCTGCTTTAATTGGCAGCTTCTATGATTGCAGGAAGGGTAGGTGTCTTTGAACGCTAGGCGGAACTCCTGTGGACCTATACCGGCAACTCCTAAAGGGTCCCTTTGTATCTTTTGAAGAGCTACAGGGGGGGAATTAGATGGCACAATTGTGTATGGGTAAAGGCGACACGGGAAGAAGGGAAGTTTAATCAATGAATTGGGAAATCAGAGTTCTTGAGAGAAGCATGAAGCCGAGCTCAGTCATCGGTTCTAGCACACAAGTAGACACCCGCTGGCAAAAAGCTGGCTTGCGCAAACAAAGGTTGCTCGGACAAGTTCGACTGGGTATAAACATGTGTGCACATTAAATTTGTAAAAGGTGGGCACCAGGCAAAACATCCATCCTCCATCAACCTAGCAAGTCTATTGAAAGGACACGGATGTTTCCTGTGCCATTTGAACTATCAAAGCGCTCGACCCTACTTGCCATAAGATGAGTGACCAGATTCAGGCATGACCTCCATGATACATGTACACTCTCTCGGGCCAAGCCACGGTTCACAATATGAGAAAGTCGGCACTCATGGCTCACTTTGCCAATAGCCTTTATCCGCAACCAGCATGCCACACTGCCAAATATGCCGCGGTTCTGCAAATATGGTCTTGCGGTAACCCCTTGACAAGACAGCTTGATCTGCGACATGGTCAAGCCTCTCGGCCTATTTGGCCTGGGTTCTCTTGGCAGGGACCCTCCAAAATGCTGTTCAATCGATTCTGTCCAGCTCAAGTACTCCCTTTGAACCGCAAATCCTGATCGACAATCTGAGGAACCAGCCTCCTCTGACTCTCCCATTCCGGCCATAGATCCACGCTTCCTTTCACACACACACACCTGCTGTTGGGTTGTGTCCGCCTGCTTTGGTAGTGGCCCAGCTGGGAAAGGGACAAATGGGTATGTGTCAAAGTAGGGGGGACCCCCAATAATGGCTTTCCCTTCAAAAAGCTCGCACAACTCAGCCATCCCAAAACAAGTAGCCTCAAACAAACTGCCAAACATTGGTGACACTTTTGGAAAAATCAATGAGTTTCCCGGGTAGATGGGGCATAAGCCCAATCTACACCACTGGAATCCATCTATTTCATTGCCCAAACTAAGCGATCAAAAGGACACCTCCCAGGAACTCAGCGTAGACACGGGCTGGTTCCAAGGATTGTGTTTTTTTCCCGAACCCCAGATGCCCGAAGGACCCAAAAATCAAAGAAGTTCACCTGTGGGCCTGAACCAAAAATCGAAAATTGGAAGACTAAAAGGTCGGATCGAGTAAACCGATCAAAGCGCTCGCCTCGCAGATGGCCAGGTACTGAGGTCCGAAGGCCGCCACCAGAATCACACCTCACGTGGGTTCCCGTGAGAACCCAATGGCTCGGATTGGAAGAGACATGGGTTGTCCAAGAAGGTTGCCCAATAGGGACATCCCGCCACTCACGTGGATCTCTCAGAATGGGCGCTTTGAGGAGATAGTCTGAAAAAAGGGGCACCTGCCTGGGTCTGTCTTTTTGAGGGTACCCGTTGTTTGTGGCGTTTCAAGGGAAGCCAAAAGGAACACCGAAATCCAGGCGCAACCCCCATGTCTTGCAGTCTATACCGGCGCTGCGTTTCTATCTGACGGCCTTCTTTACCGAATTGCTCTTTTCCAGTGGATGGAATTTCATAAGGCCCGCGAAAAAGGGAACAAAATGAGCAAACAAACGTGCAGGATCACTCTAAGGCCACCCCCCTTCTCGTCACAGCCGTCCGAACGCGGGCCTTCCCGGCGATTGGGAGAAAGGCCATGGAGGTGCGCTGTGCCCAGCACCCGTAGCGGCGCCTCGGACTCCAGCGGAGTGCAGCCAGTGGATGGAGCTGACTTGGCCATGGGTCGAAATCCAAATCGTACCCTGTGAACATCCCAATCCAACCATTTGAAATAGGTTCCAACATGGGCGCTGAATTCACCTACCTGGGATCCCATTGGTTTTGACCCACGGCCATTTGGCCCCCCCCGGCCCCCCCCCCAAAAAAAAAGAGGTCGAAAGTCTCATGCTGTGGATGGAAGAACTTCTGCACCACTTTAAACCCATGGGAACCATTATTTGTTGGTAATTACAGGAGAATCATTCCATGGTTTCTTCGGTGATGCAGGATTGCAGTATAGATTAACATCATGATCATAGGAAACTCTGGAGGGTAGGCTCAAGGAAGGAGTTCGAACTCACCTGGGGCAAGGCAAGGGACCCCTGAATGAATCAGTGGTGCCTAGGTGCAAAGGAAGTGACCTGCCAAGGGCAGGTGTTCTGCGACAGGCATGTCAAGCAGAGCACTCACTTGTCAAACACATCACGAAACAAACAGGGCAGGGACTGAAAATTCTCAGCCTGTGGTGCGCAAAGGTCGTGATGCGGGAAGATAGCTGTTCAAAGATACAGGTGCGTTCTTTGTGTGGCCCCTGTGCAAGCAACAAATCCGAACCAAAAATACGGCCAATTCATGTGACAGAAAAGCCCAAGCCACAGGCAGGCTACACCACAATGGCGTGAAGGCAAGAAACGCGGAGCGCAGATGAAACTTTTGGTCCCATGAGATAGATCCAAAAATCCAACGCACTCCCTGGAAGATGTTGCTCCCTTAAAGAACCCGTCCTTTTTGAAATACGAGGGCCAGAAAGTCAGACACTGCAAACCGGGAGCCACTTGCAACACCAGGGCATCTTAGGAAATCCTGGTATGTTCTTGCTGGTCGGTCATAAAAGGTGGAAACCCGCCGTTTTGCCATGTCTCTTTCACAACGCCTCAGTGACAAATGTGTGGAGCTCCCTTCCGATTTCGACCCAGAGGCTCCCAACAAAACCCAACAAGGCCTAGAAGGGGGGACACCCGAACATGGCCTTTGGTGTAGAACCGTTGGTTTCCCCCGTTTCAACCTGAGAAACGTACCGTTGTCAACATGTCACACACACACACACAAGGTAGTGTTTGGATTTGGACACCCCAAATGGCTTCTGTTTGCCCTTTGGTTTCCTAAGCGCCAAGAGAGGGGAACCAACTCCAAAAAGACGAGCCACCCACAAGGCTTGGTGGTTCCCAGCCATCCAATTAGCTTCTCAGGTGTTTCGTTGGTTTAGCGGTTTTCTGAATTTCGCCGGTTGCGCCTCCGTGTTTCTCTTTTTAGGGGACCCCCCAAACTGGGTTTTGGTTTTCCTTTTTTGGCTTCACCAAAAAGGGGTACCCTGAAAACAAGACGAGCCACCCACCTAACCAGAGGCCACATCCAAGCCAAACCCGCCGGTCTGAAGTTCTGAAGACCCCGGCCGCGCAGCGGTACTCCTCTCCGGTGACTTTTCCACCTGCGGCTTGGTTTCCCATTGGCCATACTCATTTGAGTGTGTCTCAAAATATGACTTGGACCCCTAAAATTGGTGGTTTCCTTTTGGTTGCACTTTAAAACCACCCCAACAAATGCTACCCTGAAGACACACCCATTTCTACCCTACAAAGGAAGTGGACGATCGGGGCCTGCCCCAAACAGGAAAGCTTTCGCCTTCCAAAACCGATTGGAGGGAGGCTCGCTGGCCACCTTTCGGAGGGCAACTCTCGGGAAAGGGTTTCAGTAAACTGGGTCATTCCCGGCAAGGACTCCGCAATGTGCCTGCGCAGCAATGGATTAAACCAGAACCTCTTCCCTTTTCGTGCGTCTGGAATGTAAAGGGGGAGAAAAAAAACAAGGGGGTACCTCGAGAAAGACAGGGCTTTGTGGGAGCTGAAGCGAGAGTTGGCATGGAAAGACCGTCCCAAACACGGCCATGCTCCAAGATGCACATTCGCCGCTGACCAATTTCCGGACTGAAATTGAGCTCAACTCCCTGTTCCTGTACGTCAACAGGGTGTGTCTGTTTGTGGGGACCCCAAAGATGGTGGTTTTCCTTTTGGCTTCTTTTTAAAACCATCAAACAAGGGGTAAACTAAAAAAGACAGACCCAATAAGTGTTCCACGATTCCCAAAGGCATCCAACACCAACCGAAATGAAGAGAAGAACCTGTGGCTAGTGCAAAGACAAGTGAAGAGTAACAGGACGTCACAATATCAGGGAAGCGGCCACCTCGAGGTGCAGAAGGGTGATTTCCACTAGCGTTTTCTTGTAAGGGAGATGTCATGTCGTGCGGGACGTCGTGCACCCAAACTCAAGGGTCCCGCTCGCAAAGTGCCTCCAGCCGTCAGCCTGGCACCAGTGATCGGCAAACTAGCCAACTAGCCTTCAACGTCGAGGCAGCGCTACGGTTGGGTCGTCCTTGACTTGAAGGGCGAAGATCCGATGTGCGACCCCACAAACCAGTTGACCAGCATCACCAACACACGAGAGCAAGTTGAACTCAGGACAAAGAAAGCAAGCAAGCAAGCAACGCAAAGCAAAGCAAAGCAAAGCAAAGCAAAGCAAAGCAAAGCAAAGCACAAAGCAAAAGCAAAAGCAAAAGCAAAAGCAAAGCAAACATGCAAACATGCAAACAAGCAAACAAGCAAACAAGCAAGCAAAAAAAAAACAAGCAAGCAAGCAAGCAAGAAAGCAAACAAGCAAGCAAGCAAGCAAGCAAACAAACAAACAAACAAACAAACAAACACACAAATGTTTCAGCTGAGCGGTAGAATTAGACTTGATATCAATAGTATCCTATGGCGTATTCTTTGCTATAAGTGCAGTTGGGTTAATGGGATTCGGACCCTTGCACGGTGCCCCTCTTCATTGTCGAGTGTAGCCTCACAAGTCTGCGAATCTGCTGTCCCAAAATTCAGCTGGCAGCTGGTAATTCGCTTAAGCCAGACGGATTCAGCGTGCAACGCGTTGATTCGGGAAAACAGTCAACTCATCTTCTAGGTACTGGATCTTCACAGCCCAGGAACGTTCATAGCCTAGAGGTCCTGTGGAACTAGGGTGACTTGCAGCCGGCGATTGTGGAATGTGACACAGCCCAGCTGATCAACCCAAACTTTAGCAAAGTCAGTGCGATCAGGTGCCCACTCTTGACAAGAAAGCACCTCCTCCAACATCAAATCAAATTGAACGCGAGTAAGAACACCCGTTCACAGGTAGAAATGTTTTAACCTCAGGGTGGTCCTTCCATTTGGATTGAGAGGCGATTCACCATTGCCCACCCCTCACTCATGCCCTCCGGCCCCTGCACCAACAACACTGCGCCAGCGCGGCGCATGGAGGTCGGGACCTGAGCGAGACACGACGAAGCTCGTGGAATTCGGTCGGATCCGATTCGGTTTCCTCCCCCTCGATTTCCATGAATTCGATCTGCGCCTCGAAAACCTGGCATCCCCTCTACATTTCAGGGGCCCAACTCCATGCCAACTTCATGACAAATGCCTTTGCCCAACACGATGCCACTGTCTGGTTCAACCCCATTCGCCTTGCTCTAAGTCCAGAGCTGAGGCGCCCGGCCCACTCCCACCAGCAGAACCGCTAAGGGAGCGCCACCCACCTCGACCTCAGAGCTCAGAGAGGACAACGCGAGGCTGTGCAGGGGCATCCCATCTTGAGCAGAGGTACCAATGCGCCACAGGCCCTACCTTTAGCACAGGTCTCGAATTTCGTGAGGTACCCCCTTCTCAAATGCGCGAACTCAAGAGACTGCCCAAACAAACTTGTGGCTCCGGAACTGAAACAAAGACCTTCATGCTCACCCGCCCGGGGCCACGAAAGCGCTCAGCGTGCATGGGCCCGGGCTGTTACAGCACAGGCGGTCAGCACCGGACCTCAGTCGGGATGTCACGTCACCTATGGAACGCAAATTGAGTCTCTGCCCGCCAAACAATCACCATCTTTGAGGCTTGAAATTGATATCTTTATCTTTCCAGCGGTGCGATTTGCGCGGAACTTCACCGGGTATGCATTTGTGGCTGGGCCAGAGACAACACCCAGGAGATTCCATCCAGCGCAGTATTTTAAAAGCGTGGTAACCGCATGGGTCACCATGAATCGATTTGCATGTTGAAGCGCAGTGCTGCACGATCCAGTGACCTCGCCAGGGCATCCCATGCCTTTGCCAGCGCGACACCAGCGCACACGTGCAGGCCAGACAGGCGGATTGTTGCAGGTCTCTGTGCTCAGCACAGCGGCAGCTGACTACTTGAAGGGGCAGGATACTTTGTAAGGGGTTAGTAAGCCTGGTTGACCCACTTACCATGCTTACAAGTCTCGCAAGTGGGTTATAACCAGGCTTTCTATAACCACTTACTAAGTACGCTGCCCGCCGCGCTGAATTCAGCCCTTTATCTGCGAATGACAACGCTTCACTGTGAGGCCGCTGGGCAGCTCAGGCACGGGTTGGCTGTTTGGTGAGTCCCGAAACCTTCGCGGCCTATCAACCTGATGGAAGTGAGCAGGGCATCGTCCGACAAGCACGAGACCGAATCTCCCTGTGCAGCTATTTGTTAGCTCTGAAACAAATAGAGCGTACAAAAAGACTCATCCCTCTCCACCAACAACCGCATCCTCCCACTGCAGCTCTTCGTCTACCCAGCTGTGAGTTTGCAATTTGGCAAACCGGTACTTCAAGCCCGCCAACGCGATTTTTGCTCGCCGTAAGGCCGCCGCCCACATAGTCATGGCTTTGGAAGTCAATGTCTGCTGCCATGGCGAACAGCCACCAACTACTCCTGCAAGACCACTGAATTGTGCTGGAAGAATCGCAATCATCAATCATTCCCTGAATTGTCTCATCTGCAGGATACAGTACTCAGCTGTCACTAGGAATGCCGGTCCTTTAAAACTCTCGTGTGTGGAGGTCCATTCGAACTCGGGGTTGGCCAAAGTCCGTGTAGGGTCTGATTTCCTTGCAAGTTATCTCCCCAAGACACCTACCCACATGATCAGGGTTGTGGCCTCTCACTCCAAGCTGAAGGATGGCAACAGGTCCGGTCCTTTGCCGGGCTGGAGCCGCGAGATGGCCGGCGAAACTCGAGGCTTCGGGAAGTCCATGATAGGTGCGGAAACACTTGCTGGTTCTCAGTACGGACTCAACAGTGGGTTCGGGAATGAGCCTTGGCATCCCCTTAAAGGAAACCACAAGGATGGTTTAAAGCGTCATTCTCTCATTCCCTGCTGGGCACCAGGAAAAAGTCCAATGGGTGGTCGAGGTTTACGTCAAGCCACTTGCTGGAGAGGAGCTCGTCATGTGCATCAGGCGATGTTTTGCCAAACATATTGACACGCCGCAGTCTGCTAACCCTCAATCGGAGGCTTGGATTGGCGGCTTGGAAGGGTAGGCGTTTGCTGCCTAGTTCTCACAACAAACAGGGGTTCAAACTCCCAGACCGCCAATCCAAAGCACCAACTCGAAGTTACTTGACGCAGGGCGCATGCCAATTCCCTGGATTCGCAAAAAAAGCGAAACCGCTCAAATCTACGACTTATTCTTGAAATCAACTGGTTGCCCCTTTCCCCCCTGAAAAAATGACTCGCGAACCCAGGGCCCTAAGCTAACTAACTACCTCTCCCAGAGGTGGCCCCTTGGCTGAAACTCACCGGAGTAGAACTTCTCTGCGTTGTCCTGGCAAGGAGGATGTGAGGTGACTCCTTTCTCAACCTCCATTTGCTTAAGTCCCCCGAAAAGAATAACAATATTTCCAGTCGTGAAACCAACAGGGGAAAATAAATCACATTCTTCAGCAATTGGAAGTCTCCTTTACTTTGACACCATCAGGTTCCCGACATCACCCCTGAAAGCCTTCCAAACCCTGGACCGGAAGGTGATGCAAAAAAACAACCAAAAATACTAAGAGCGTAGAGGACCCTGACTAGGTCCTCCGGTAGAGAGGTCAGAATCAGGGTACCCATGTTTTTCTGTAGTCTATTTTGGTAGGGGAACCCTCCCCGAAAAAAGGGTAAAAAGGCACCACTGGGGGACCTGGTTGAGCCCGTACGTCCTGCATGATCACCTCTGCACGCTCCCGATAACCTGGCGGGGTTTCGTGGTCTGCAAAAGCTAGCCTCTCAGCCAACCAACAGGGAACCTGACTGGGGGCAGTCTGGAAGACAAATGTCCTCCAGAAAGGTCCCTCAGGTGAATTGCAGAGTGGACGGAGGGAGCTGGATTTAGGACGTCTTCAAGAATCTGTCTAAACATGCATCAATACATATATATATATATATAATACACATGTATGTATGTATGTATGTATGTATGTATGTATGTATGTATGTATGTATGTATGTATGTATGTATGTATGTATGTATGTATGTATGTATGTATGTATGTATGTATGTATGTATGTATGTATGTATGTATGTATGTATGTATGTATGTATGTATGTATGTATGTATGTATGTATGTATGTATGTATGTATGTATGTATGTATGTATGTATGTATGTATGTATGTATGTATGTATGTATGTATGTATGTATGTATGTATGTATGTATGTATGTATGTATGTATGTATGTATGTATGTATGTATGTATGTATGTATGTACACAGTCTATATATTCTGTGTAAGAATATGGGTGTCTTTTTGAGGGTAGCCCTTGCGGGCTGGTTTTAGAGAGAAACCAAAACATGGATAACCCCCCCCCAAAAAAAAAAAAAAAACAAAAAAAACATGATGCTTGTTGATGTCGCGGCAATCCGCAAGTCAAAATACTTGCCAAACCACGTACCTCCAAATGCCATACAGTACCTGCGCATACCAATAGTGTTTGCATTTATCCGACATCCCATCCCTGATTTGATTGCTTCCTCTCACAGATGGGAAGAAATGGTCCTGGTCTTCACAGCCCTGGAATGCGCTTTTTGCTCGGCATCTCTGTCAAGGTCTCCCTGCTCCCAACTCAAAGGGACACCGAGGCCCAAACAAGAAGTAGGACATGCATCCCTATCAGAAAGGGCCCCGTCCTGAATTTCACAGCTCGGAGGAAGGCACCACAAGCCGCCCCTGCAACCACAAACTCTCAAGTTAGCCCTCACTGCCGTCTTCGAGGGTGGTACCCCATGTTCGTGGTGCTGAAAGGCAAGCCAAAAGGAAAACTGAAATCCATTTTTTGGGGGGGGTCCAAATCGAAAAGAAAGACGCACCCATCTCAGCCACGGGGCGCTCCAAGAGCGTGGTGTTGGAGAGGAGCCCCTTCTCCTGGATGGAGAAGGTCCAGTGCGCAATGATGGCGCTGCCCAGAGCACCTGTGACGGTCGATCGCTATTTCAGCATAGGTAAACTGGACGGAAATAGATGGGGTTTTCTGGTACAAGTAAAAGGGGGCTAAACCTGATCTAAGCCAGTGGCACCCATCTATTTCTAACCAACCTAAGCTAAAAAGGACACCTATGCATGTCAGTCTCATGTCGAAAGACGAGGAGCATTGAGAGAGGCCTTGATGAAAACATTGCTGTCCATCTGGCCCAAGAGACATCGACTTTGCTGTTGGACTCTAAGTAGTTGTTTTTGTTTTCCTCGCGGATGGGGAATGCTCGCTGGCTCCAATTACATGGTTTAGTGAGTCTCGAAATATATCTGAAGATCGGAAGGGTTTCCTGAAACCATTTCTGCGGCTGGCCGGTCCTGGCCACGTAAGCCACGATTTGCACACTGCAAGTCTACAGGAGATATGTGTATCCAGGTACCCAAAGAGGGCTACCAATCCCTTCATGGAGTGCCTATTTCAATTCGGGCTGATCTCGAAACAGAGTTTTCCTTGGGATCATGGCATCGGTCATCTGCAGCAAGTGACGGCTGACCTCTGACGTCTAGCAACTGATCATGTTAACTTCGGATTAATACAGAGGACCGTACTCATGAGGAGTGGTTCCCTTTTAGTAAGGAAACAATCTATATTAGGAAGTCCTCTAACAAGTAGGGTCCTCGGATTAATCCGAAGTCCACATGAGCTTAGCCCTGGTCGCATGATCCTCCACATGCATGATTCACCTGCCTGCGTGCTCTCCTCTCTGCTTGGGATGAAGGGTGCTCATCTGGCGCTCGTCGTCAGTGGCAACACCCACCTCGGCTTCTCGATTCGCTGCCCGCCCGCAAATCACGCGTCGCAGAAGTCGCGGTGATTCAATTGCCAGTTGCAGGAGGGCGACCACAAAACAGGATCGCCTTTCTAAGTGTCCAAGTGGGCAAGAAAAGAAACGACATGAAAGGAGCCCAGCATTCCGAAGCCTCGGTATTCTAACCTGCATATATCCGTTGAGCAGCATTGACTCTCTTTGTTGCATAGCCCGTACGACCTTTGATCAAAGTTCCTTACAAGCGGCTCTCTGTCAAATGGCAAGCTCCCAAGATTCCCACAGAACCAACCAAGGCTCAAGCAAAGCCCAGGGCAAACCTTACAAACACCGCATGGATCAATCTTTTGTAACAATCTTTCCCGGCGAAGCTTCCCAGTCAATGTCGTTGAAGTCCTCATGCTGGAAGGCGAAGAAGTTGTCGTTCCAGTCAATGGACCGTCCCAGACCATCGCTCATGGTCTCGTATCCATGCCTCCAGTGCATTGGCACACAGCGAGGCCGACATGGGAGTAGCTTAATCCTTTCCAATCATTGGTATGGCAGCAAACACCTCGTTGTTTGAATCCCCCTACTAAACATGAATAGGGCCCCCAAACCTAAAAGCGGGTTTGCCTCCAGAATCCGTGAACAAGCCAGAAGGCTTCTGGACTAGCTCTCGATTTCGGGTGTTGAAATCGAGCACAAACAAAATATCCAACCGTCCAGTTTGTTGCTGCGTATGTGGCGCGAATGTCGGAGTCGCACTTTTATCCCTTCCCTGCATCAT